CCATCATATCATATTCACATCATTTGTCATTGCTTAGTTCTTGATTAGTCATTGTCATTAATCTTTAAACCTGTTTAAGTTTGTTAGTTGTCATTAGTTAACCAAAACCCACTCTTGTTTGCTTGAATTAAGAACTTGATCATATAGCTTAGTGTCTATCACCTCATTCTTGGATTGATTAACCTCTTTGTGCTACTTTGACAAGGGGATTGATAGCCCTGAGACCTTAAAAAGTCTTGTCTATCAAAAACGTAAGCCCCGGTTTAAGTGTCGACAAACGTGGTGTCCTAACTTATATATCTTGCAACGAATGCTCGTCGCAGCTGGGCGGGAAAAGCCATATAAACAGTGCAACACATGCGAAGAGATTTCATCGCGGACTAAAAGCCAAATGATATATGCTATTGCGATACATATACTGACAGGTGCGATCATACCAGCACTAATGCATCGGATCCCATCAGAACTCCGCACTAAAGCGTGCTTAGGCGAGAGTTGTACTAGGATGGGTGACCTCCTTGGAAGTCCACGTGTTGTACTCCTTTTTTGTTCCTCTTGATTCTTTTGTTTCTTTTTTCTTAGGTCTTTTCATTTGAAATACAAGGCATCTTTTAAACGATGCCAATTCGAGATCGTGTGGAACCACGCCTCCTACATCAACTTTTCAGAAAGCCCCAAGAATGCTCTAGGGCGTGCCATTTTCTAAAACGTAAGCCCCGGTTTAAGTGTCGACAAACGTGGTGTCCTAACTTATATATCTTGCAACGAATGCTCGTCGCAGCTGGGCGGGAAAAGCCATATAAACAGTGCAACACATGCGAAGAAATTTCATCGCGGACTAAAAGCCAAATGATATATGCTATTGCGATACATATACTGACAGGTGCGATCATACCAGCACTAATGCATCGGATCCCATCAGAACTCCGCAGTAAAGCGTGCTTGGGCGAGAGTTGTACTAGGATGGGTGACCTCCTTGGAAGTCCATGTGTTGCACTCCTTTTTTGTTCCTCTTGATTCTTTTGTTTCTTTTTTTTTAGGTCTTTTCATTTGAAATACAAGGCATCTTTTAAACGATGCCAATTCGAGATCGTGTGGAACCACGCCTCCTACAGCAACTTTTCAGAAAGCCCCAAGAATGCTCTAGGGCGTGCCATTTTCTAAAACGTAAGCCCCGGTTTAAGTGTCGACAAACGTGGTGTCCTAACTTATATATCTCTGCATGAATGCTCGTCGCAGCTGGGCGGAAAAGCCATATAAACAGTGCAACACACGCGAAGAGATTTCATTGCAGTCTCAAAGCCAAAGCATATATGCTATTGCGATACATATACTAACGGGTGCGATCATACCAGCACTAATGCACCGGCTCCCATCAGAACTCCGCAGTTAGGCGTGCTTGGGCGGGAGTAGTACTAGGATGGGTGACCTCCCGGGAAGTCCTCGTGTTGCACTCCTTTTTTGTTCCTCTTGATTCTTTTGTTTTTTTCTTTTTTAGGTCTTTTTCATTTGAAATACAAGGCATCTTTCGAACGACGCCATTTCGAGATCGTGTGGAACCACGCCTCCTAAAGCAACTTTTCGGAAAGCACCAAGTGTGCTCTCTAGCATGTCCAAGGGTCTAAAGACCATGGGTGCGGTTTACAATGCCAAAACTTTGAGTTTTAGACCCTCTTCCGGGCCCTTTTCTAAAACATAAGCCCCGGTTTAAGTGTCGTTAAACGTGGTGTCCTAACTTATATATCTTGGCATGAATGCTCGTCTCAGCTGGGTGGGAAAAGCCATATAAACAGTGCAACACATGCGAAGAGATTTCAGCGCGGACTAAAAGCCAAAGGATATATGCTATTGCGATACATATACTAACGGGTGCAATCATACTAGCACTAATGCACCGGATCCCATCAGAACTCCGCAGTTAAGCGTGCTTGGGCGAGAGTAATACTAGGATGGGTGACCTCCCGGGAGGTCCTCGTGTTGCACTCCTTTTTTGTTCCTCTTGATTCTTTTTTTTTTTTTTAGGTCTTTTCATTTGAAATACAAGGCATCTTTCGAACGACGCCATTTTGAGATCGTGTGGAACAACGCCTCCTACAGCAAATTTTTGGAAAGCCCCAAGTGTGCTCTCTGGCGTGTCCAAGGGTCTAAAGACCATGGGTGCGGTTTACAAGGCCAAAATTTTGAGTTTGAGACTCTCTTCCGGGCCCTTTTCTAAAACATAAGCCCCTATTTAAGTGTCGTCAAATGTGGTGTCCTAACTTATATATCTTGGCATGAATGCTGGTCGCGGCTGGGCGGGAAAAGCCATATAAACAATGCAACACACGCGAAGAGATTTCATCGCGGACTCAAAACCAAAGGATATATGCTATTGCGATACATATACTAACAGCTGCGATCATACCAGCACTAATGCACCGGATCCCATCAGAACTCCGCAGTAAAGCGTGCTTGGGCGAGAGTTGTACTACGATGGGTGACCTCCTTGGAAGTCCTCGTCTTGCACCCCTTTTTGTTCCTTTTGATTCCTTGTTTTTTTTTTGGGTCTTTTCATTTGAAAAACAAGGCATCTTCCGAACGACGCCATTTCTAGACCGTGTGGAACCATGCCTCCTACAGCAACTTTTCGGAAAGCCCCAAGTGTGCTCTCTGGCGTGTCCAAGGGTCTAAAGACCATGGGTGCAGTTTACAAGGCCAAAATTTTGAGTTTTAGAGCCTCTTCTAGGCCCTTTTCTAAAACATAAGCCTCTGTTTAAGTGTCGTCAAACGTGGTGTCCTAACTTATATATCTTGGCATGAATGCTGTCGCGATGGGCGGGAAAAGCCATATAAACAGTGCACACACGTGAAGAGATTTCATCGCGGACTCAAAACCAAAGGATATATGCTATTGCGATACATATACTAACAGGTGCGATCATACCAGCACTAATGCACCGGATCCCATCAGAACTCCGCAGTAAAGCGTGCTTGGGCGAGAGTTGTACTACGATGGGTGACCTCCTTGGAAGTCCTCGTCTTGCACCCCTTTTTGGTTCCTTTTGATTCTTTGTTTTTTTTTTTTGGGTCTTTTCATTTGAAAAACAAGGCATCTTCCGAACGACGCCATTTCTAGACCGTGTGGAACCATGCCTCCTACAGCAACTTTTCGGAAAGCCCCAAGTGTGCTCTCTGGCGTGTCCAAGGGTCTAAAGACCATGGGTGCCGTTTACAAGGCCAAAATTTTTAGTATAGAGCCTCTTCTGGGCCCTTTTCTAAAACATAAGCCCCTGTTTAAGTGTCGTCAAACGTGGTGTCCTAACTTATATATCTTGGCATGAATGCTCGTCGCAGCTGGGCGGAAAAGCCATATAAAACAGTGCAACACATGCGAAGAGATTTCATTTCAGTCTCAAAGCCAAAGCATATATGCTATTGTGATACATATACTAACGGGTGCAATCATACCAGCACTAATGCACCGGTTCCCATCAAACTCCGCAGTTAAGCGTGCTTGGGCGAGAGTAATACTAGGATGGGTGACCTCCCGGAAGGTCTTCGTGTTGCACTCCTTTTTTGTTCCTCTTGATTCTTTTTTTTTTTTTTAGGTCTTTTCATTTGAAATACATGGCATCTTTCGAACGACGCCATTTCGAGATCGTGTGGAACAACGCCTCCTACAGCAAATTTTTGGAAAGCCCCAAGTGTGCTCTCTAGCGTGTCCAAGGGTCTAAAGACCATGGGTGCGGTTTACAAGGCCAAAATTTTGAGTTTGAGACCCTCTTCCGGGCCCTTTTCTAAAACATAAGCCCCTATTTAAGTGTCGTCAAATGTGGTGTCCTAACTTATATATCTTGGCATGAATGCTGGTCGCGGCTGGGCGGGAAAAGCCATATAAACAATGCAACACACGCGAAGAGATTTCATCGCGGACTCAAAACCAAAGGATATATGCTATTGCGATACATATACTAACAGGTGCGATCATACCAGCACTAATGCACCGGATCCCATCAGAACTCCGCAGTAAAGCGTGCTTGGGCGAGAGTTGTACTACGATGGGTGACCTCCTTGGAAGTCCTCGTCTTGCACCCCTTTTTTGTTCCTTTTGATTCCTTGTTTTTTTTTGGGTCTTTTCATTTGAAAAACAAGGCATCTTCCGAACGACGCCATTTCTAGACCGTGTGGAACCATGCCTCCTACAGCAACTTTTCGGAAAGCCCCAAGTGTGCTCTCTGGCGTGTCCAAGGGTCTAAAGACCATGGGTGCAGTTTACAAGGCCAAAATTTTGAGTTTTAGAGCCTCTTCTGGGCCCTTTTCTAAAACATAAGCCTCTGTTTAAGTGTCGTCAAACGTGGTGTCCTAACTTATATATCTTGGCATGAATGCTGGTCGCGGCTGGGCGGGAAAAGCCATATAAACAGTGCAACACACGTGAAGAGATTTCATCGCGGACTCAAAACCAAAGGATATATGCTATTGCGATACATATACTAACAGGTGCGATCATACCAGCACTAATGCACCGGATCCCATCAGAACTCCGCAGTAAAGCGTGCTTGGGCGAGAGTTGTACTACGATGGGTGACCTCCTTGGAAGTCCTCGTCTTGCACCCCTTTTTGGTTCCTTTTGATTCTTTGTTTTTTTTTTTTGGGTCTTTTCATTTGAAAAACAAGGCATCTTCCGAACGACGCCATTTCTAGACCGTGTGGAACCATGCCTCCTACAGCAACTTTTCGGAAAGCCCCAAGTGTGCTCTCTGGCGTTTCCAAGGGTCTAAAGACCATGGGTGCCGTTTACAAGGCCAAAATTTTTAGTATAGAGCCTCTTCTGGGCCCTTTTCTAAAACATAAGCCCCTGTTTAAGTGTCGTCAAACGTGGTGTCCTAACTTATATATCTTGGCATGAATGCTCGTCGCAGCTGGGCGGAAAAGCCATATAAACAGTGCAACACATGCGAAGAGATTTCATTTCAGTCTCAAAGCCAAAGCATATATGCTATTGCGATACATATACTAACGGGTGCGATCATACCAGCACTAATGCACCGGTTCCCATCAGAACTCCGCAGTTAAGCGTGCTTGGGCGAGAGTAATACTAGGATAGGTGACCTCCCGGGAGGTCTTCGTGTTGCACTCCTTTTTTGTTCCTCTTGATTCTTTTTTTTTTTTTTAGGTCTTTTCATTTGAAATACATGGCATCTTTCGAACGACGCCATTTCGAGATCGTGTGGAACAACGCCTCCTACAGCAAATTTTTGGAAAGCCCCAAGTGTGCTCTCTGGCGTGTCCAAGGGTCTAAAGACCATGGGTGCGGTTTACAAGGCCAAAATTTTGAGTTTGAGACCCTCTTCCGGGCCCTTTTCTAAAACATAAGCCCCTATTTAAGTGTCGTCAAATGTGGTGTCCTAACTTATATATCTTGGCATGAATGCTGGTCGCGGCTGGGCGGGAAAAGCCATATAAACAATGCAACACACGCGAAGAGATTTCATCGCGGACTCAAAACCAAAGGATATATGCTATTGCGATACATATACTAACAGGTGCGATCATACCAGCACTAATGCACCGGATCCCATCAGAACTCCGCAGTAAAGCGTGCTTGGGCGAGAGTTGTACTACGATGGGTGACCTCCTTGGAAGTCCTCGTCTTGCACCCCTTTTTTGTTCCTTTTGATTCCTTGTTTTTTTTTTGGGTCTTTTCATTTGAAAAACAAGGCATCTTCCGAACGACGCCATTTCTAGACCGTGTGGAACCATGCCTCCTACAGCAACTTTTCGGAAAGCCCCAAGTGTGCTCTCTGGCGTGTCCAAGGGTCTAAAGACCATGGGTGCAGTTTACAAGGCCAAAATTTTGAGTTTTAGAGCCTCTTCTGGGCCCTTTTCTAAAACATAAGCCTCTGTTTAAGTGTCGTCAAACGTGGTGTCCTAACTTATATATCTTGGCATGAATGCTGGTCGCGGCTGGGCGGGAAAAGCCATATAAACAGTGCAACACACGTGAAGAGATTTCATCGCGGACTCAAAACCAAAGGATATATGCTATTGCGATACATATACTAACAGGTGCGATCATACCAGCACTAATGCACCGGATCCCATCAGAACTCTGCAGTAAAGCGTGCTTGGGCGAGAGTTGTACTACGATGGGTGACCTCCTTGGAAGTCCTCGTCTTGCACCCCTTTTTGGTTCCTTTTGATTCTTTGTTTTTTTTTTTTGGGTCTTTTCATTTGAAAAACAAGGCATCTTCCAAACGACGCCATTTCTAGACCGTGTGGAACCATGCCTCCTACAGCAACTTTTCGGAAAGCCCCAAGTGTGCTCTCTGGCGTGTCCAAGGGTCTAAAGACCATGGGTGCCGTTTACAAGGCCAAAATTTTTAGTATAGAGCCTCTTCTGGGCCCTTTTCTAAAACATAAGCCCCTGTTTAAGTGTCGTCAAACCTGGTGTCCTAACTTATATATCTTGGCATGAATGCTCGTCGCAGCTGGGCGGAAAAGCCATATAAACAGTGCAACACATGCGAAGAGATTTCATTTCAGTCTCAAAGCCAAAGCATATATGCTATTGCGATACATATACTAACGGGTGCGATCATACCAGCACTAATGCACCGGTTCCCATCAGAACTCCGCAGTTAAGCGTGCTTGGGCAAGAGTAATACTAGGATGGGTGACCTCCCGGGAGGTCTTCGTGTTGCACTCCTTTTTTGTTCCTCTTGATTCTTTTTTTTTTTTTAGGTCTTTTCATTTGAAATACAAGGCATCTTTCGAACGACGCCATTTCGAGATCGTGTGGAACAACGCCTCCTACAGAAAATTTTTGGAAAGCCCCAAGTGTGCTCTCTGGCGTGTCCAAGGGTCTAAAGACCATGGGTGCGGTTTACAAGGCCAAAATTTTGAGTTTTAGACCCTCTTCCGGGCCCTTTTCTAAAACATAAGCCCCTGTTTAAGTGTCGTCAAACGTGGTGTCCTAACTTATATATCTTGGCATGAATCCTGGTCGCGGCTGGGCGGGAAAAGCCATACAAACAGTGCAACACACGCGAAGAGATTTCATCACGGACTCAAAACCAAAGGATATATGCTATTGCGATACATAAACTAACAGGTGCGATCATACCAGCACTAATGCACCGGATCCCATCAGAACTCCGCAGTAAAGCGTGCTTGGGCGAGAGTTGTACTACGATGGGTGACCTCCTTGGAAGTCCTCGTCTTGCACCCCTTTTTTGTTCCTTTTGATTCCTTGTTTTTTTTTGGGTCTTTTCATTTGAAAAACAAGGCATCTTCCGAACGACGCCATTTCTAGACCGTGTGGAACCATGCCTCCTACAGCAACTTTTCGGAAAGCCCCAAGTGTGCTCTCTGGCGTGTCCAAGGGTCTAAAGACCATGGGTGCAGTTTACAAGGCCAAAATTTTGAGTTTTAGAGCCTCTTCTGGGCCCTTTTCTAAAACATAAGCCCCTGTTTAAGTGTCGTCAAACGTGGTGTCCTAACTTATATATCTTGGCATGAATGCTGGTCGCGGCTGGGCGGGAAAAGCCATATAAACAGTGCAACACACGCGAAAAGATTTCATCGCGGACTCAAAACCAAAGGATATATGCTATTGCGATACATATACTAACAGGTGCGATCATACCAGCACTAATGCACCGGATCCCATCAGAACTCCGCAGTAAAGCGTGCTTGGGCGAGAGTTGTACTACGATGGGTGACCTCCTTGGAAGTCCTCGTCTTGCACCCCTTTTTGGTTCCTTTTGTTTCTTTGTTTTTTTTTTTTGGGTCTTTTCATTTGAAAAACAAGGCATCTTCCGAACGACGCCATTTCTAGACCGTGTGGAACCATGCCTCCTACAGCAACTTTTCGGAAAGCCCCAAGTGTGCTCTCTGGCGTGTCCAAGGGTCTAAAGACCATGGGTGCCGTTTACAAGGCCAAAATTTTTAGTTTAGAGCCTCTTCTGGGCCCTTTTCTAAAACATAAGCCCCTGTTTAAGTGTCGTCAAACGTGGTGTCCTAACTTATATATCTTGGCATGAATGCTCGTCGCAGCTGGGCGGAAAAGCCATATAAACAGTGCAACACATGCGAAGAGATTTCATTTCAGTCTCAAAGCCAAAGCATATATGCTATTGCGATACATATACTAACGGGTGCGATCATACCAGCACTAATGCACCGGTTCCCATCAGAACTCCGCAGTTAGGCGTGCTTGGGCGGGAGTAGTACTAGGATGGGTGACCTCCCGGGAAGTCCTCGTGTTGCACTCCTTTTTTGTTCCTCTTGATTCTTTTGTTTTTTTCTTTTTTAGGTCTTTTCATATGAAATACAAGGCATCTTTCGAACGACGCCATTTCGAGATCGTGTGGAACCACGCCTCCTAAAGCAACTTTTCGGTAAGCACCAAGTGTGCTCTCTAGCGTGTCCAAGGGTCTAAAGACCATGGGTGCGGTTTACAATGCCAAAACTTTGAGTTTTAGACCCTCTTCCGGGCCCTTTTCTAAAACATAAGCCCTGGTTTAAGTGTCGTCAAACGTGGTGTCCTAACTTATATATCTTGGCATGAATGCTCGTCTCAGCTGGGCGGGAAAAGCCATATAAACAGTGCAACACATGCGAATGATAGACAAGACTTTGTGCTACATTGACAAGGGGATTGATAGCCCTGAGACCATAAAAAGTCGTGTCTATCACACGCCTAAGTAGGAGTGTTTTGCGAGTGTTGCTGCGGCTTGGTCTCCTTCCTCTCCAACTCGCAGGGCTAAGGCGGTTTCTGGGGAATGTACAAACTGTGCGGGTTGGTCTCTATTGCACCTAGGTCGCAGGCTCAAGTCGGAGTGATTTGCGAGTGATCGTGCGGCATAATTCCAGGCGCGGCTAACTCGCATGCCTAAGTCGCACGATTGTGGACTTAGCATTTCTCTTGCTCTTGAGCTTCAGACCTCTTCCAGTGATATTTTACCCGCACATATCAACTCGCAGCATCAGCATTCAGGCGTTCATCTTCAGGCCTGCGGGTTAACCAAGTCGCAAGACCATCTCGCAGCATCCAGAGCAGCTTAGACCACTTCGCATTCCGGAGAGTGTAACTCCTATGAGACTAGTCCGAATTGAATTATTTCGGTTGCAGAAGACAGAGGACTCATTTATCTCCAACTTTGGTAAAGGAAACTTCGGTGCTTGGGAAGTGTAAGGCTTCCTGGAGGGCACATCTTTGCAGTGCATGTACACGACCAGAGAGAGGCGTCTAGAGATGTGTCCATTCCGGAGACCGTATCTTTCTGCTCATAGATCCGAATTGAATGCTCTTGGACGTTATGGAAAGAAGACTCAAATGTCTCTGGTTCTCATGAAGGATCTGGAAACTAAATCGGCCTGGAAGTGCACCGTCCTTCGCATCCTTTAGGACTGATCTGCTCGGTCCGGAATACCTGCGAGACTGGGGTTCCTTCCGACAAGCTTATCTCTCTGCTCACGCGTCCGAATTCCACGATTCCACTTGCTAAGAGACCGTGATGCAATGATCTCCAACTTCTATGAAGCACCCGCCGTCTGAATCGGACCGGAAGGCTCCCCGGACAGGCGATTTCTGAGACACGTTCACACCCGGAGATTTTGGCCGATACACTTCATTCGCGGTACATGAAAATGGCCGGTAAAGCTTCCCGCGGTACATGGAAATGGCCGGTAAAACCTTCCTGGCCAGCGAGAATGGCCGATAACTTCCCAGGACCCAATTTTTCCACTTTTTCAAGCTTTGCTCACCATTCCACCTCCTGGATTCATCTTTTCAGCTCCATATTCACCTGATAGACACTCAAAACATGCAAAGACTCATTGGGACCTAATGCATCTCCTAAGTTCTAAAACAAACCCTAAGGACCTAAAATGCATGAAATAAAACATGATTTGGAATGATTTATGCAACCTAAATGATGCAAATTATGAACATATCAACTCCCCCACACTTGTCCTTTGCTTGTCCTCAAGCAAAAAGAGAGCAAATGAGAGAAAGAGGTTTTATGCAATGGGAGTTCACATTTTCTTTTTGAGAGAAGTGATCACAATGAGAACTCAAGTTCATGCTCAATTATGCAATGCAAAGTCATACTCAGATATATATCAACTCAGCAA